CTTTGCTTAAGTTTGCATTATTAATATTCTATTCAATTTGTAGTTTTTTGGCAGGAATATTTTAAGCCAATTGTTCAGATTGTTAGTTGGCAGCATACAAGCTGTACAATGTTACAATATACTGAAAGAAAATGAAGGCAGGATGGTGTAAGGGTGAACCCCTTCCCATCGTGGAACTCCCAATTTTCCCTCAGGATAATTCCAGTTCTGTGATCTATGACCATCTTACATATGGACCAAGTAAAAGCACCAGTGTCATTAGGTATATTAAATGTTGATAAACACAAATTTCTTATGGAAGAGGATGAATACAAATATCTTTGGAAGTTCTACCCAGCTGTCTTTAGAGATTAATGGGTTGCACTTTTTCATTTGTTAACTCAAGTTGGAGATTCTGGTGAGAGTATGAATGGTTGTTTAAAGGATGTTTGTCATTGTTCAGTCGCTAAGTCATGTCCGACTCTTGGCAACCCCATGAACTGCAGCACATCAGGCTTTCCGGTCCTTCACTATCTCCCAGAGTTTGCTCAAACTCACATCCTTTGAGTTGGTATTTATGCGACATTTAACTAAGTCCTCTCCACCTATAAATATACCATTTCTATATGCTATCTCAGGTATCTTCTTGCCCAGTAGCTGACAAAGGCTTAAGAGAATTCAATTTTGTCTCAGTAGAGGGCGTCCCTTCCTTCTAGGAATGTAGCAAGCCCTTAGCAACAAGAGGCTGTCTTAAGACCTGGGACCTATGAAAAGAGGTCGTGAGGGCAATCTCTGTATCTGTACGGGCTGAATGAAGTCCACTCATTATTCATTTCCTGCGGGGACTGAAGTCCAGAGAACTGCTCAGAACTACATGACTGGTGGTGACTAAACCACACCTGAATTCAGGCCTGCCACCCTCTGTCTAGTACACTCTCGAATATTCCTCACAGCCCTCTGATGCGTGCTTGTTAAGCAATAGTAACACTAGCCCATTTTTACTTAATGTGATTATTGATACAGCTGAGTTTTAATCTATCATCTTATTTCATGATTTCAGTATGTCCAACCTCTTCTGTGATTCTTCTTTTTTAATTTTTAAATTTTTTGGCTGCACTTGGTCTTCTAGTTGTGAGCCAGCTTTCTCTAGTTGCTTTGACTTGGGGCTACTGTTCATTGGGGTGCGCAGGCTTCTCCTTGCAGTAGCTTCTCTTTCTGCAGAGCACAGGTTCCGTAGCTGTGACATATGGGCCCAGTTGCCCCGAAGCACGTGGGATTTTCCTGGACCAGGCATCAAACCCACGTCTCCTGCGTTGGCAGGCAGATTCCTAATCAGTGAACCACCAGGGAAGTCCATCTTCTGTGATTCTTTGTTTTCTGACTTCCTTTGGATTAAGATTTGTTTATTATTATTTTTTCTCCTGTCTCTTCTTTCAGTGTTAGATTAAAAACTATTTTCTTAATATTTATTACTTTGTTTTTAACTTTGGATTAACTGCTCTAAGTCTAGTGTAAAATTTTTTTGTAAATACTGATCTTTACCATTGGCCTATGCAATTCAGAAATATAAGAACACTTTAATCCCATTTAACCACATCTCAATTCATTTGCTCTCAGTGTCAAAATTTTTAATTCTATATAATTTTAAAATCCCTTGGATACTTTGGTTTTTTGCTTTTCATACTTTCCTGTATCCCAGACTTTCCATCTGAATTATTTTACTTTATTTTGACATACATCTTTTAGCATCTCCCAAAGTCTCTCTGAGTAAAAAAGTATTCATTCATCTTTATTATTGAGCACACTCTGTGTGTGTGTGTGTGTGTGTATTCAAACACATACTAGAAATAGAATTCTAAGCAGGCAGATGCTTTCTTTCTGCATGTTGATAATACCATTTTACTGTCTTGTGATTTCCACTATTGATTTTTAGAAGTCAACTATCAATTTAACTTTATATCGTCGGTACTATGCCCTTTTCCCTATGGTTGCTCTTAATATACAGTATATATACAGTTCTGTTTCTTTGACTTACTACGATTTTATGTATCTGGGAGTGCTGAGTGCATATACTGTATATAAACAATTAGGCTTCTTGAATCTATGGACTGATGTCTTTCATTAGTTCTGAATATTCTTAGCTATTATATCTTAAAAAACTATTACCTTTGGCTCTCTCTCTTCCTCAAACATAAAATCTTACTCAAATAAGAGCCTCTCTCTTGCTTTCTTCTTCCAACATAGCAAGGTAGTTTTGTAGTTCATGGCTAATGATCTCAACAGATATTAACTCCAGTGCTTATGAGCCTGTTTTAAAATTTCTGTTGTTTTTGCTGGCTCATGCTCAATGTGTTTTGTTTCCCTGTATGACTGGTGATTTTTGACAGTGTGTTGGACATTATATTTCAAAAACTATTTGTACAAATAATTTGAGGCTTAGCATGATAGCATTCTTCTTCCAAAGAGGATTTTCATTTGCCTCTGCCAGACGCCTGATGTCCTACAAGTCTGGATCCAAATAAAACCAAGTTCTAGGTTGAGGTTCCAGGGCCCACCCAGATAACATACAGGCAGAAGGAAATTCAGTGCAGAGATTGGTTTACTCATGATTCACCTTACCTGAAGCTGCAACTCTTTGGGACCCCAGTTTAAAGTGGAGGCAGTTTATTAGAATTTCTACCCTTGGTATGTTGCAAGTCTCACGTTTTGCTCCCTGGCCCCAGAAATTTGTCAAAAGTGCAGCTCAGTTTTGCAGCTATTTCTTTAGGATTGAAAATGCTCTGAGAGAAAAATCATATTTGAATATCAGTCTTGTTCTCCGGGTTCTTTTCTTCTTGATGTTGGCTTTAAACTCCTCACTATTTTGTCAACATTTTGATGCTTTTAAAAGAATGTTTTTATATTTCATACAGTTTGTAAGGTTTCCTTAGTGGGAGGATTGACCCAAATTCCCTGTCATCAATTATAGGGAGTAAAAGTTATATATTTTTTTTATTCATCAGAAGAAAGAAAAATTTTCAGTCTTCTATTTCTAATTCACACTTATCAGTTTGTTAGTTCCTATAAAGCACTTTATACATGCCAAAGATGTACTATATCCTGTAGAACCAAAACTACTTTGTAGTACTCATCCTTTCAAAGAACCCAGTATGATATGATATATGAAATGGTTCATAAGACAATTTAAAGTCATGACTTCTTCTGGTCTTTGAAATTCAGTCTGATAAACTTGCCCCACAAACTCATAAGAAAATAATGGAAGATCCAGTGATCTATGTATAACATACATACAAAATATCATAAACTTACTCAGGGCAATTTCTTTTCCCACTGACTGAAAGCCTTTCCCTCTTTTCTTGTCTCTTTCAGATGTTTCCTCTATCTTCACCATCTCAATGAGGCCTTCCCTAAAGTTCCTCTTTGAAATTGCACACTCCCCCTTATTCCCATACTCCTTCATCTCCTGCTGTCCTCTTCTGTCCATCACTGTCCACTATCTTACACACTATATATTATATATCCTGGCTATATTCATCACTGCCCCTCCAATCTTGATAAATCTGCTTCACCTCTCAAGCTTTTATTCTTCTAGGTGTAAAACTCAGACCAAGAGAATTATCCCACCATTTGTCATATGTATGTTTCACAGATAAACGTAGTGATAGATTAGAAAGTTATTCTAAGAAAAAAAAAATATTTTAATAACAAAAAATGAGAGAATTCTAGAACTGAAAATTGCCATATCAAAAAAAAAAATACTGGTTGGGCTTTACAGTAAAGTAGAAAGAATAGGGAAAAAAAGAAATTAGTGAACCTTAAAATAGTTCAATAGAAATGATCCAATATGAAGAACAGAGAGAAGAGAGACTGAAAAAAAAAAGAAAGAAAGAAAAAGAGCAGATCTGTAGGGACCTGTGGACATTATCAAAAGGTCTAATATATGTGCAATTGGAGTTACTAAGGGAGAAGAGGAAAAAATGGTGCAGCAAAGAATATTTGAAAAAAAAGAATAGAGTGAAAAATTTACAAGTATGGAAAAAGAGATGAACCTACAGACAGGAAGGAGAGCAAACCCCTTACAGAACAGATTTTAAAGCACACACACACACACACGCCCAGACATATGAGTCAAATGGCTAAAAACCAGTTAAGGAGAAAATTCTTGAAAGAACCCAAATGGTTTTGTTATAGACTCACTCATTCCACACCAAGTAAAATACATCAGTTAAATTTTAGTGGACTTGGAGTATTGGGGGAAAATTTTCAGTGGAGGAGAAATTGCTGCTTTTCTTTATAGCACATCCTTTATGTGAGAAGCTCATTGATCGTGAGGGTTAGATAGGATGGAGGCTGGTGGATGGAAAGATTAGCAGCCCTTCATTTCAATCATGGTTGGGTAAAGTCTTCTGTAGGGAGAAGTATGCTACAGGCTCTCTGGAAGACATAAATATTTTGACCCAAATGACTCTGAAATCAGGGAAAGAGAAGTGAGATCCTCATGGTAAACTTGAGAATGGTATGACCAAAAAGTCTAGTGCTTCTTGAAGCCAGGGGAATTTTTGAAGTGGAATTAGAGGAAAGAAATTTGGGGGAAATGGGAAAGACCCAGAAGATTTTGATTATTTGACAACATTTATTTCCTTAGCATTATTTTCTTCCTTTCTCTCACAACTTAGTCAAACCTTTCTTGGGGTGGGTAGGTCTCATGAGCAAGTGCTTGGAAAAATATGAAGGCAGATTCTTTCTTTTCCCTTTCACAAATAAATCACACAGTTCTGGAGGTAAGTTATAGAGAATTCCACTTTCAGGGCAAAATTGTAGCCCCATTTTAGCAAATGTGGCCTCTTTAGTTACTGAAGGATGATTTTAATGACTGAAAATAAATAAGACCACCAAAGGTTAACCCAAGGCTTGCTGCTTATTATTTGCTGCTAGTATTTTCCATACTAGACTGGAAACAAAGTCATGACTTTTCGTTTGTGATGTAAGCCTCTTTTTCTCCTCTTGTTTCGCTTTCTCAGTCCTACCAGCCATCCCTCATCATCTTCGTGTTTTAGGAAACAACATCCTTGAGGAAGGGAAGAGTTGATGAAATCCAAGAAATAGTTGAAGGTTGGTTGCCTGACGTGGAGTCAAGGACCCAGTGTTGGTCCCAGGGCTGCTCATGGAGGGGAAGGTGCATCTCCGCTGCATCGCGGCAAGTCTTCCAGACCTGTCTGCAGCTCTTCCTGTAACCAAGTGGCCTTTTCCTGTGTTTAAACTCACCACCAATGGCAATCCTACCAAAGGTAAACAGCAGCGGTCTAAGCAAACGGCTCTTTTCCCAAAAGAAAGCTTTTAACTTTTCTTTTGGAGGAGACAGAAGAGGGTTGTTTGAGGACTGGGTGGAGGAGGAGAAAGGAGACATGGGACCAGAGGAAGCCCAAGTGACCCCAAACCCTGCCCTGCATGTTTTTTCTTTCTTTCTTTTATTATTTCTCTCTTCACCTCCCTCATTATTTTTGGCTGGCTCTTTGGTGCAGGGCGCCTTCTATTCCCCGGCAGTTGCTTTGAACATCAGTCACATCAGGTCAACTGCCAAACTGTGAGCCTCTGGTCACACGGCTCTGAGTCCTGCAGTTTGACAGCTTCAAAGTGCCTCACACATGGTGATTTGCCTCCTTTGGGCTGCATGTTAAAAGAAGGGGAAGCCTGGACAGACTCATGACGCTGCTGGAATTAAGGCTGGGAGCGTTAATCTATCTCATCTTGCAGAAAAAATCATAACCAAAGAGGAGAGCGGGGGAACCACTGCCAGGCCTTGTGGCCAGTTAAGTGGAAGGACGAGGGGCGGGTCTGCTCGTGTTTAGACCTGTGGGGACTCTTCCCAGTCCTCACGCTTAAAACTGTGTTTCTCAAGGAGTCAGCCTGCCTCCAAAATGCCTCAGTGATGGTGATATGTGAGCTGGGATGGAGGAAGGGAGAAGAATGCTTAATGGATGGAACCCCACCCTCCTCCTCAATGGAGTCTCTTCTCGTTGCTCTCATTCATTCATTCACTCACTCATTCATTCAGCTAATGTCTGTTGAGCAGCTTCCTTGTACCAGTGACTTCCAGACACTGGAGACACAAGAAACCGGCAAAGTCTAGGTTCCCACGAAACTTACGTTTTGTTTTCTGTGTTAGTTTCTAAGTAAGATTACTTTTTGGTCAAAGGATTCTATCCATTTTTTTCTTTCAAAGAGAATGAAATCTTTCCAATATCTAGCTTTTGGAGCATTAACTGGACTCATCTGACACTCACAACATTAAGTAGAGCTTGTGCCACTTCATAAAACAAATTAGCTGCTGATCTTCCAGCCTCTAACAATTTAAAATCTACCAAGAAAACACTCCTAAAAAGAGAACTTGCCCAGAGAGTATCACTCACTGATGAAAGTGGGAGAGAAATAAAGATACAAATTGATGGTATAGATGGTGAGCCGAACACTAATAGTCCATTATATGACTACCATGGGTCATGGGTATATTCACTTCTCAGGAATTCCATGTAGCATACGATATGCATGTGATCTTTTAACACTGCCCCCTTTGTTTGGTGGTGGGTGGAGGTGAGTGTAGCAGTCAGTTAACAGCTTTGATGAGTTTCAAACTGGGATAGCCAGCAGCAAATATTCCCATGTGGGAATTTTGGTTTGAAAAGTTAAGGCTTAAAGTTGTAAACAACAGCCTTACCTCCTAGTGCATTATTAATAATTATCTTTTGAAGTATAAAAAATTACCCCAAAGCCTATTGCTGTTTAATTGCTAAGTCATGTCTGACTCTTTTGCAACCCCTTGGACTGTAGCCCAGCAGGCTCCTCTGTCCATGGGATTTCCCAGACAAGAATATTGGGAGTGAGTTGTCCTTTCCTTCTCCAGGGGATCTTCTTGACCCAGGGATCAAACCTGCATCTCCTGCAGTTCCACCAGGGCAGCGACCCCAAAACTTAGTGGCTTTAAAACTCAAATGTTTATTACCTCACAGTTTGTATGGTGTCAGGGGTTTAGGGACAGCTTAACTGGGTGGTTTGGCTCAGGATCTCTCATGAGGTTGCCACGGCAGAGGCTTCAGTCTTCTGAAGGCTTGATTGGGCTGGATGACCCTTTGCCGGGGCCGTGTATTCACGCGGTTTTGGCAGGAGGCCTCGGTCTCGGTCCATGTGGCCCTTTCCACAGGGTACTTAAGGGTTCTCACAGCACGGCAGCTGAGCTCCTCCAGAGCAAGCAATCTGAGAGCAAAGGCAGAGAAAAACCTCAGTGTCTCCTGTGACCTGCTCTCCTCAGTTGCTCCCTATCACTTCTGCCTAATTCTATTTTAGGAACAAGTCACCAAGTCTCAGGGATCAGAATTAGACTCCTTCTTTCAAATAGACAAATAGTGAAGAATTTGTGTGCATATTTAAAAACCATCAAATTTAGGCTCCCTTCCCATTTAAATTTTACTTTTTCATGTAGGCTCTTAAATAAATCACATTTCATTTGTGATACTGTACTATATATTTTAAAAGCAAACCATTGCACCATTGTCACACCCCAAAGATTGATAATTCTTTAATATCTTTTTAAAATAGTCTGTTTTCAATTCTAAAATGTTTAAATCAAGAAATTTCACATTTAAAGTTCATATTTTCAGCTTATTATTTTTTAAAAAAATTAGATGATCTGGTCACACTAGGCTTGTGTTCTTACATGGTCACAAGCCACTTTAAATGTGTCATGGGCTATTTTTCCATGATTCCCAACATACCCTATTATGTTACATGTGGGGTACTGGTTAAATGAACTTGCTTGGTTCATTTAATATTTGAGTTTATCCATGGTCTGGTCCAAGGAGGCTGAAAGGTGTGGCAATGAGGTTGAAGAAGGGAGAAGCCTGACCCCTGGTGTGAGTTGGATCCCTGAAGATTAAGAAAGAAGACAGGCTACAGAAACCTTGGGTCTCACCTATGTAGTGCTGTAGAGATGACAAGGGTAGCCATAGAGATCTGGTCAGTGTGGCCTTAAAAGAGCGGGTAGATGTTCCTTTGACAGCATCTGGCACTGAGAGTGTAGAAGCACAAGCAGAATGAGGCACCTCTGAGGGGACCATGGATCAGCCAACGTGCACCAAGGCTTAATGCTATTTTCTTATGGCTGTGAAAGTCCTGGGTCTGCTACAACTAAAGGAAGGGTGTGAGGACCATGGAAAATAATGACAGAGAACTTTAGCCAACTTTATCAAGGAAGGGGAATTCTAATCATGCTTAATGTAATGTATAAAAATAAAGTTGTTTCTTGTCTCTTGTGTGCTACTAAAACATAGGATCTCAAGGCGCTTGGAGAGGACCTGTCAGTAGAAGAATAGACCTATATGACCACTCTGGAGAAAGATTATGGAAAAATGAGCTCTACTGAACAACTGAAGTGAGTATTGGAGGAGGGTGCTTGCTTACCTCCAGTCTGACAAGAAACCACAGGTGCTTTTTAACACAACTACTGCCACTCCCCAAGTTCAAAATGACTGTGTGCATACATGCTCAATCGTGTCCGACTCTTGCGACCCCATGGACTGTAGCCCACCAGGCTCCTCTGACCATGGGATTTTCCAGGCAAGAGTATGGAGTGGGCTACCATTTTCTAGGCCAGGGGATCTTCCTGAACCAGGGATGGAACCCCTGGGTCCTAATGTGGAATACCTAGAGTGCCTTTTCCCCAGCCCTAGTAGCTCAAACGCTGAGTTCTGCTCCATCTCTCAGAGTCACCCCTCCTGGGCCAGCTTTGAGAATGCCCCCAGCTTTTCAGTAGCAGCACTGGGTGTGTGCCAGAGCACCTGTTGGCAACCTTTTTGGCACCGGGGACCAGTTTCGTAGAAAATGATTTTTCTGTGGATGGCAGGGTGGGGGGGGGGCGGTGGTTCAGGCGATAATGCAAGTGATGGGGAGTGATCTTGGGAGTAGCGGGTGGAGCTTTGCTTGCTTGCCCTCTGCTCGCCTCCTGCTGGGGGGCCCGGTTCCTAATAGGCAGTCATCCTCTACTCATCCACAGCCCAGGTTAGAGACCTCCGTGCTAGAGGAAAGGAAGCTCTGTTGGGTGAATGTTAAGAAATGTAGGCATGGGGCTGCGCATGAGGACAGTGATGCCAAGGCAGGCAGACAGGAGGCTGGGGTGGAACAAAGGCAGGTAGGTACTCAGCGATGGAGGCTCTGGAGATAAGGGGTGGAGTCGGGGCACGGGAGAAGGTGCTGCTCTTCAAAAGTGTGACTCTTTCAAAAGCCAGCTGTCTGTGTGCCAGGCAGTGCCTATATTCACTCCCCAGTAAACTCACCACACGGCATGTTAGTGTGGCTCTCAAACCTGTCTAGGCACCCACATGGCCGCCTGCAGCTCCTGACAGTCCTTCTGTCCCAACCACATTTAGACTAGACTTTACAACTCTCCAGCTGCTTCCACTCTTGCCCTCCACCAACCATTCTTTGCATAGTGACCCACATAGGCTTTCTGAAATGCAGTGAGTATGTCCTTCTCCCGTGTGGAATATTTCATGGCTTCTGATCCAACTGAGGATCAAGTCCAGAATCTGAACTCAGACCCCCACTGGCTGCTCCTTGCAGGATTGCTGCTTCCGCCACTTTGCCTGACACACGCCTACTCCTTCTTCAGGCCTCCATGTATATTTCATTTTCTTAGGGAGACTTTCCCTGACCATTTGTACCTGACTATAAGGAAATGGCAACCCATTCCAGTGTTCTTGCCTGGAAAATCCCATGGACTAAGCATCCTGGTAGGCTACAGTCCATGGGGGCGCAAAGAGTCGGACACGACTGAGCGACTTCACTTCACTTCACTTTTATACGCTCTCCTAGCTCTTAGATTTCCTCTTCAGAGCACGGACTGCAGTTTTAATTGTTTAGATATCCAAGCGTGCTTTGCTAAATTGAAAGTGTCTCTCCTCTGCTAGGAAGTAAAATTCACATGTACATTGCCCATACCTGGCGGGGGCCTTCTGGTCCATAAGACATGCTGACTAAATAGTTGGAGAATGCGCCTTTGTGCCATACGATTTTGCCTTATCTATTATACAACATGTTCTGCAGTCTAGAGACCAAGTTTTACTATGTGACAGGCAGTGTTTGTTTAGAGGGCAGGGTAAGTTACCTTTTGTTGAAATAGGGCTCTGAGCCAGAATTCCCTGGGTTTGAAATCTTACTAATTATGTGATACTGGAAAGTAGTGTAATGTCTCCATGCTTCAGTTTCCTCATCTGTTAAAAAAGAGGAGGCGATAAAGGGCAAAATAGCACCTACTTCAGTGGGCTGTTGTGATAAGTAAATAAGTTGTGACATGTAGAGTCCTTAGAAAAGACTTGGCACATGGTATGTATTGGAAAGATTTTTAGCTCCTCTTCTTCACTCCTAAGACTATGAAAAATAGATGTTATGTTAGTGTCCCCGCTTCTCAAATGAGGACACTAGATCCATAAAACAGACTTTTTTTTAGCAACTTGTTTATAATCCTTCATATCATAATTTCATGCTACAAAGAAACTAAAAAGAAAGAAAGAAATGAATGTTCTCAAGTTTGGGGAGTTGGGGCTTGGAGGATATCAGGGCTTGGCAAGACCAAGAAAATAAATCAAAGGAACAAAGGAAGTTTCAAAGCAGTTTCAGGCGCGGGACTTGGCTCCCTCTTCTGCACGTTAGTCTAACACGTGAGAAGCCTGCACCAGGGAGGGCGGACTCAGTTGCCACAGAATCTGGAAGGGGGATGGCGAGAACATGGAGCATGACTCAGAGTAACAGGAACTAGCATCTCCAGGTTGTAGCAGGAAGCGAGAACCGTGACTCCCAACCTGTTCCAGAGCTCCTCAGGAACTCTGCCAGTATCTCCAAAGACATCACCGTGTCCTCAAGCTGAGTCCACTTGGATCCAAGAGAAAAATCTATGCCATGCATCCCATGTGAGAGGAAGTGGGTATAAAGAAACCAAACAAAGGGCTGTGAATCATTGGAGTGGACACTCTTCCTGCAGAGAGGGGAGTCCTGCACCAGGCTTTAAAAAGACATCTGGCAGGGACAGAAATATTCCTGGCAGCCTGTTGGTAATGGCCCCGAAATAGAAACAACCCAAATGTCATCTTCAGTAGAGTGGACATATAAAGTGTGGTCACAGTCGCAGAGTGAAAATACTCTCCAGTAAGACAGTGACTGAGCCACAACTACACTCAACAGGGGCGAATCTCACAAATGTAACGCAAAGTAGAAAACACAATTCAGTGCCATTTGACATGTAAACCAAGTAATGCATATCTATGTCAGGTTTGAGAACTGAAGACTGTGTGACCTTTGAGGAGAAGTAGAGGTATGGAGGATCACAGGGATCTCTCGTTAGGTTTCTCTTAATCAGATGTGTTTGTTTTATAAAATTTCACTGATGTGTGCGCTTACTTTTTTGCATACTGTTTTGAATATATGTGTGTGGGCTCAGTCCCTTGAGTTGCGTCCTACCCTTTGTGACCCCGTGGACTCTTTGTGAATCTTTGCCAGGCTTCCCGCTGTCCATGGAATTTCCCAGGCAAGAATACTAGAGTGGGTTGCCATGCACTCCTCCAAGGGATCTTCCCGACCCAAGGATCGAACCCATGTCTCCTGCTCCTCCAGTGTTGCAGGCAGATTCTTTACCTAATGAGTCATTGGGAAAGCCCATTCTGAACTTATATTTCAAATCATTCTCCATTTTCCCACCCTCTATGGCCAGGGGTTGAATGAGTCTTGGGGTAAATAGATAGCCCTAGAGCGCTCGATAATCAGCAGCTGGGAAAGTACCAGTTAGGATGCTTCAGAAGTGGGAAGCCATTTTGAGTAGAGCTTGTGTTTCTGCAGCGCTGGTTCTGAGTCTTGGGTCACTGCTTTTTTCTCACTGAATTTTAACCTTGGTGTTTATCCTTTCCTCTGATATTATAGTCCCGTCTCTCTAATTGAATGATCTCTGTAATAGCTAATGCAGTGTGAGCTCACCTGGGGGTCAGAGGCTGGCCCATGGTCTGCTTCTACACATGGCTTTCCTCAGTTGTCTGCAGTGTAAACATCCTTTCCCTTCATTCCCCTTCAGAGCCGGAAAAGAGCCATGAGATGGCTAGACAGAAAGCCTCACCAGCCTGAGTGACCTGATGAAAAATTTCTCCCATGAAGCCTGATGGGAGGGACTTAGGAGTTTCAGCTTCTAGACACCCAGTGGGTGGCGTTACAAGTATTGGAGGATCATCTTCATATGACTGGCAGAACAGGGAAAGAGAGAGGCCCATTCTATGAACCTCACGGAGGGTGGCAACGAGCTATCTGAAGGGAACAGTGTGGCACAGCAGGGCTGAGAATCCTCTTGAAAAACCATGACTGCACAGGCCCCGTCCACGCTGTCTGTGGCAGGTCATCTGGCTCGGAGAAAGCAACGCTCCTGCACGTGACAGTCCCCACATGCTGCAGACTTGAGAGGGAATCCTCTGGACTCTGACAGGGCTCCTGGGGCTCAGCCCTGGCCCAGCCCTGAGGCTGCAGTGGGAGGAGAGCCTGGAGAGGCTGCGCGGTGCTGCCATTGCTTCTCCAGGGGCCAGAGAGAGCTGCAGCCTGAACGTCTTTGTTCTTCTTATCCCCCCACGGCCTCCTCCTCTGACTGGGGCCTCAGAAACCCAGCCCAGCCTTTCCCTCTTTCTCCTCAGTCACCCGCTCCGCACTCCCTCCCGCTTCTTAAACCTCACAGATACCCAGCCTTTGGCCTCCAGTATTGTTACTATTGTTACTGCTCCACAGGAATCAAGTCCTACCCCTTCCATTCTCTCCTGCTCTTCTCTCGCTTGTGTTCCTTCCCATTTCTACAAAGGCAGGAGAGAGAGGGAGGTCAGCAGAGGGCAAAGAGCGCCAGAGCTGCGTCAGGAGGCAGATGAGCTGCTTGGTTTTGGTCGCTGATGTGTGTGACTTTGGGCAGACAGTACAGATTCTTGTCTGGGCACCAGTGTTGTCATCTGTAGACGGAGTCGGGTCCCCCCATGGCAGAAACCCAATGCCACATGTTGTGTCAGAATTGGTGCCATGAGGATGCAAAGAATAAGTCTGTCCTGGCTTTTACAAACTTACTGAATAACATTACATTCTTTCTGACAAGCGCTCACACACACACGCACACATATTCAGATAGAGAGATAAATTGATAGATAATTACTGGGGGAAGAAAACTGGATAAATGAAGGATCTTATGGTCCACTGAATCCAATAAAATCTTGCAGAGAGAATGAACCAGATTTATCCTTTCCATGAATTCACTTGACTTGTTCCTCATCTTCAGGTGTGACGCTCCACCCCAGTTTTTCATCACTGGTTGAAATAAGGAAGCACTTAAAGCTGATTTTTTTTTTTTTTTTGGCTGCCACAACGATCTGCGGCTGGTTTCTGCTTGTGGCAAAAAAACGATCTTAACCAGATGAATGAAGGGCATGGGACACACAATGCAAATCAGAGAACTGTAAAACAGGCTTATTCCTGAGTGAAACATGCCCTAAACAGAGCTTGTGCTTGCCCATTGCACTCCTAGGACCCCCTAACTTGGTAAAGAATAGTCCCACCATTATCTGGCTCCTTATAGTCAACCTCCTATTCCTTTTCAAACTTTGTGGATGACTTACCTAAGACCTGGGCAATATTCTGAAAACAAATTAGACACCACCTTCCGGTTTTTACAGAGGTGACTAAATCCAAAAAGCACTGGGAAGGTAAAGGACATAACAGTGTGGACAGCAGCTCTGAGATAACTGTGTTCAGCAGCAGTGTGGTAAGTTGCTGCTGTTGTTTTTCATCCATCAACAAAGATGAAATTTTGGTCCTTGGCATGAGGCTCAGTGATCAATGCACACATCTGTTATTTGATCCTGGAAGAATGGAAAGCTCTAGAGTCAGGCTGAAGACTTTCAGCCACGCTGGTGTTTCACAGAGCCCAGGGAGAGCCATGCATTCGGGCTGACCTGTGCACTCCTGGCCTCACAGGCTGCAGGTTTGCCTTGGTTAGCATGACAGACCGAACTTTCCCTCCATCAGAGTGGACGAGGCAGATTTGTTCCCCGTTAGTTGTGTCTTTTCTGCAAACTAGATGTCAGGCTGCAAGCTCAAGAGAGTCTGCCTTTCTGGAACACCATTTGTTTGGACAGGACAGGCCAGTAAGGCTTTTCATCTCTTTAAAGCTCCCAGGGCAGAGAGCATATTTGAGGAATTCCTTTTTTCAAAGTTTTTTTTTTTTTTTTTTTTTTTTTGCCCCTTCCAACATTTTGTTTAAGAGAAAATGAGATGTCTATCTTCTGTTTCCTTATTTTTTTTCAGGAAAGCAAAGGGTTGTTGACTTCCTCCCTCTCCCCTCCCTTCCTTCCTTCTTCCCGAAGGTACTCATCTGAGAAAAAGAGAACGAAGTATTGTTCCTGTTCTCTTTCTTAAGTCATTCGAAACACTGTCCCTGCGAGTTCTTTAAGTTCCCTGCAATCTGTACACAAGGAGGCAGAAAGAGAGGGAGAAAGACAGAGAGACAAGGGATCAGGTAAACCTCGGGGGCGGCTGCAGCCTCTCAGACTCAGGAGCTGGTAAGTTACCCACGCAATCCTTTCTACTTCCATTTCAATGTCCCTGCGATGGATGTTACTGTGGGCATCTTCCACAGAAAATGCCTTACTGGGTATAATCCTTAATCAAAGGGTGTGACTGAAGGATGGCCCAGAATTGAAACTTGTATGTCTTTTTTTTTTTTTTTTTTGAGAGAATACTGATGTTCTGCAGAGTTGAGCCTGGCAGAACTGGACATAGAATTGCACTGGGCTAAGACGGACATTGTGTTAAATCTGAATTTTGGCACAGATTAGGTGGTGGATTAACCAAGAGCCACTGGAGCGCTGTGTCTCACCGAGAATTCGCTCTTCCTCAGTGCTGTGTCCTGGGAGCCTTCTCAGGGTGTCTGTTAAGAACTGTGGTTTGCTCTGGGGATTTTGTTACCCATTGTCTCGATGGAGGTGCCTGCTCTTGTTCTTTCCTTTTCATTCGACATCCCCCGCCTCAAAGAAGACTGTTAATTTGTGACTGTTATTCTGCCTCACTGAGGCAGGAGGGGAAAAAAAGAAGAGAATGTCACTTTGAATTGTACTGTATGGCGGGGGGTGGTGCTTATCTGTTCAGGCTCCATATGTGGGTTGAGTGTAAATTTATTACCCACTGTCCATTGAAGATGTCATCTGCCATACAAAAGAGGGCAAAGATGTAGGGGCAAGTAGCTTTAATTTTGGAAAACAACATGCCACTAGGATAGGAAGATTGAGATTGATCACTTGCATCAGTAGGAGTGAACAACCAAGCTAAACATTGAAGAATATTTATCCAGTACCTGGTTTTTTAAGCATCAAATAGAATATAGCAAACTAATCAAGATTCTACACACAATTAATTTTTTAAAAGTCTATCTTGCTTCATTTAGATTCATCAGAAAGTATAATGTTACAGAGAACTTATCATGGCAAGCCACAAGGGAGCCAAGATCACATTGTCAAAAACAGACCAGCAAGGTTGCTCTGAAAGACTGTGTATATTTACTAATATTAATCATTCAACTCAGAGAGGTGTTGAATGGGTGAAAGACAAAGGATGGGCAGAGGTTTTTTCTTATATTCGTTTCTATGAAATTTACTGATTGAAGTCATCTGGGATGTGAAGAGTGTAATAAAATTAGCTATTCTCTCATTTATAAATTAATTTGGCCAGACTATGCATTAACCATGCTCAAGTAATTAATCTTTATTTAAAACTGAGCCATCATCTTAATAAGAGTAAGAAAATATGATAAAACTGGACTATTATGTGGGTTTTGTTCCATTAGTCAGACTTCTTTTTTCTTCTCTTTTTTCTTCAAGAGACTTTCCTTAGGAGCACTATAAAATGAGCAATGGGAAAGAGATATGATAGCATTTTCCTGCTTGTGGAGACAAAATTATGCTAATAATAATTGAAAGTGGTTTCTAACTCCCCTACCACCTACCCTTATTCACCCCATTTCATAGATCTTCAGGTCAAAGGGTAGCCAGGACTGATCAGCTTGGGCGTTTTTGTTTTTTTTTTTCATCTTTTATCAGCAAATGTGACTCAGTAGAAAACTCAGGGCTGCAGTTTTTCGTGCTTCTTTCAGTTTCATTTTTCCTTGATAACATATTTAATTTTGTGCCCAATTAGAACAACATCAGAGAATACTATCTCATTTGGGTTATTGAATAAAAGCATCAGATGCAACACAATATGAAAAAAATGACAGCAGAGTGACACTGACAAGTAAGGCGAAAGTTGGGTCTGCCTATGGCACAGAAGACAGCCCCTCCTGAGGCTGTGTCTCCAATGTGGCCCAAGATTAAGGAGCTCAGGATAGGTTCTTTTCTGTAAAAGAAAAAAAGCAAACATTCAGTATTTCCATTTGAGTTGTTAACTCATTGCCATGAGAATGTTTGTTGGATACTGGGGAAAAAAATGCAGCTCCCTAAAGAAGAACGTCATTGACAAGCTTAACCTAGTTGCTACCAATCTGTCTTCACTCAATTCCAAAGAGTGAGTTGGCATTTGTGGAAACTTCCAGTGTGTGATTCTTACTCGGAGTCATCACAGGCTCTTCTGTGATATCATAAAGGAAACTCCAGCTTGAAATGAGCCACAATTTGACGCACAGAAGGTTGCATTAATTAATTTGTGCCAAAGTTGTACATATAACTAAACCATAAATTTGCTGTATAAATGTTAAATCATGTTAGGATGTGTCCTGTGGGCTGATATGTGAATTAAATTCGAGCAAGCAGAACATCAAAGCCCAGGCTTTGTTGTTATCCAAATCTGGGTTTGAATTCCAGCTTTGTCGCTTACTATGTGACACTTACTTTGGCCAGGTAGTTAACTCCTCTAAGCTGCAGTTTCCCCTAACGTAAAATTGCATCTATGTAATCAAGTTGTAGCGAGGATTAAACAAGCTTGTTTATGTAACACAATTAACACAAAGTGTGGTAAGTAGTTGAAGGACATCCATGTCAGATGTAATTTTTAAGCCTTATAAGGTACTGTCTTTTGAACGCAGAGAGTAGAATATATACACTATAATTTGTATCATGATCCTTGATCTATACTATACCAAGGGTCTGTCAAAACAAAAATCATCCCTCATAGCTTTGGAGTTGGGCACACATTGAGTAAAGCTGTCCTGAATCCCCAAATCTTGCAAAACAAAGGAAAGCAGAGTTTACTGTTTTGGTGTTTATCCCTGCTGATGGCAGAAACAGCCAGATTTAGCCTCATTAAAATGCCAGCTGTGTTCAGCAGAGGAGAGAGTAGGGGAGAGTTTGTCTTGGGATGAAAGTCTTCAATTTTCATCATGAAGAAACTACATGCTGTTGTGGACTTTTCATTCTCCCTTTCACCCACTTCCCCAAGATCGTGAGCTCGGCGTTGTTGATGACCTTTTCCCTGGCAGTGGAGGGCTAGAGACTTTTTTTTTTTGGAGACCATTGTGGCAGTTCATGACTCAGTCAGAGACAAGAAGATCTGAAGTGACATGTTCTCCTCACAGTACAGACTAAGCATGCTCAGTAACCCCTCTCCTCAAACATTTTAGCGGCAAACTGCCTGTCACCGATAAACAGAACACTAGTGTTACTACTGTGTGTGTGTGTGTGTATGTGTGTGTGTGTGTGTGTGTGTGTGTGTGTGTGTGTGTGTGTGTGTGTGAAAGGGAGATCCAACTGCTAGTTTTCTCACTCTAAACTTTAAAACCTACATGCTAGTTAGTCTGTCAAGTAATAACGATACTTTAGCTTAGTTAAACTTCCCTCTCCACTTTACCAGAGCAAAACACAACCACCACAGCAACAACCAGAAATCGACCACCAATATCCCAAACCGCTGAGGTGCCTTTGTTAGAGTCAGAGGCCCTGATGCAATAGAGACTTGCTTGGACAACTGAACCTTTGGAGAGAAGATTGAAGCTGCGCTGTTCTACCCTAAAGTGCAAAACAAGCGTCTTCTCAGGGGGCTTAGGATAGGAGAGCAAAGGCCAGGCTGGGAGTCAGCGCACTTCTGCCAACCTCGGCTGCCCTCTCCACGTACGACCTGACAGATGTCTTCACTTGCTGGGACCTCAGTTTTCTCTCTAAAATGATGAAGCTGGATGAAACCAGTGACTCTCAAGGGGGTCTCTGTGTGTGAGTGTGTATTAGAATCCACTGAGGACTTGTTTACACTCTGCTTCTCTCCTGCCCACTGCACTACACGATCTATAAGACTCATGCTGACATCCTGTGATTTTCTCACTGTTTTGTTCTGTCTTCTTCAGGATTGCATTGACATTAAATTAAAATGTGTTTTTACATTTTTTTTCTAAGAACCGTACTTTACTTTTAAGCATAATTCCTATTCGGCATTGGATGTTCTCTTTAGAAATTAGTTTCAAATATATCGTTATTCTAGAAGCTGTTAGTTTTATGGAATAAGGAATATGCAACCAATCTGATCAATATTCTATAATGGCATATATTATAAAGGGCAATTACTTACAATTACAAATATTGGAATTCTATATGAATAGTGCTTTTTGATTTATGCATTTATATATTATTTGTCTCTTATAGTGAGCATGCATTCTTTCTTTAATCAAAGAAAACACAGATACTGTTTTTATATTTACTTTAAAGAATATAGATTTAATATCATACGTTTTTTGGTTTTATTTTCACCTTTTTACAATGTGTGTTGTGCTGAGCCTTTATTAGAAGTTAGATCCTTGTCCCTAAATTAATACTGACATGGAAAGGCGAAAGATTGATAATGGTGTTTGAAAAACCAGCACCCACAAGTCATGTTAAATCTGCTGATCAAAAGAAAACTGTGTGGCTAATAAGTAGAGCAGCAATGGATATAGTTCTCCACATGACAGAGAGACAGCAGATACTGTCAGAAACAGCTAGCCTAATGACGGATATTCTTTTTAACTATTCAAATATCAAATTCATTTAGATGAAACTATGACATTTAGATAAAATAATAAGAGCTTGTCTTCGTCAGAAGTTAACTAGAATACATAAATTCACTAGAAAGTAAGCACCATGAAGACAGGGCCTTCTTTTGTTCATTGCTGTAAGCATACAGCCTAGAACATATAATAGATGCACAAAATATCTGTTGAATGGATGATAAATAAGTGGGCTGTAGAGTGAAACATGCCATCTTTAGTTAATACTAAACACAGCAGTTAGTAAGTTAAAAATCAATCTCTCCGGGATTCTGGACAATGTCAAACTTCCAGCGTGGCATGTTTATTTCCCACCTGAACTGACTGGATGGCTCACTCCTCCATCACATGCCTGGGGCTGCTACGTGTATATTAATGTGTCACCTTGGTAAGGGCCCTACCCACTTGTTCGTGGGTGATAAACATTTATCAGCTACACAGAAAAGACTGTTGGTTGCATTTTATTTTCCATTTCTTTTCTGGGCAGATGATGGGTTAGCACATTGTTTTTGGCGAGAGAGAGAGTGGTCATTTGTTTTTCCTTGACGGAGGCATTCGTGA